GAAACCCACCGTCTGGAAGGGAATTTCCACTAAGGCCTCTGTGATTGCCCAGTCTTCCTTCATGAGCTGGCCAAGGACAACAGAGAAACTGCCACCCTGCCTTCATCCACCATTTCTCAGACAAGGAACCCACAGCACTTTACACACACAACCATCTAGGAGGTATTTACAGATGGGAAACAGTGGCACAAGAGAAGGAAAGATTTGTCCAAGGGGTCAGACAGAACCAAGAACAGAATCCAGCAATCCCAATTTTCAGCCTTCTCTGCATGCCCCCACCCTGCAACCCGCACAAATATATTTTGTAGGCACTGTCAGAAATGGAGAAGCAAAAGGAGCAGATAAACTCAGGTTCTTCACTCTGAAATGAGGGATTTTCCTGGGCACGCTGGACCAGTGATTTCTGGGATCATTTTTATTCACAAATTCAACGCTGTATTTCTCCCCATAACAGCATCTGCACTAGAGCTTTTGCTGGAATAAAGAGGTCATAAAACACCCCCACACTACTAACAGAAATTACTATCCCAGCAACAGCTTTAATTACAGGCCTGGCCTGAGTCTCTGCCCTTGCAAGGGCAGGGTCAAGTACCTTGGGAAGAAGATGCAGTGGCTGATGAAACTTTGGTCTTTGGCAGGCCACCACCATTATGTGGAAAACCACAACTGTAGGGTGACCTCCCAGGTCCTGTTCAGTTGAGGCCAGGGGCTGTGGGTATCTCTGGGCAAACATCCAAGGTGACAAACGTGGCCATCAGGACACTGATCGTATTATTACTTGAACAAACGAGCGGGAGAATAGACAACCAAAGCCCCATGATGAGCCCCACAGGACATGGTGGGTAGAAAACAAGAACCAACATTGTGCCAAACTAGAAAAAAAATGTATACACTAGCAATAGAGACCGTGAAGGGTCAGGAAATGGTGAGTCAGCAGCAAATAGCCAAAGAGAACCATGTCTATCTGGCTTGGCCACTGCACGACTGGCAGTAGAATGCAATTGCTGCCTACAAGGCGGTGATACTGCATTAGGCCCATGGGCACAAGGGAGGGGAGGGTTCTGCCAGATGACTCGTTCCATGGAGGAATCAGTGCTCTGAGGGATGGGGTGTCCATTACTCATGACATTTAAATCTGAAATGGACACACATCAAGAGAACGAGGAGCCAGTTTGTCTTGCTCACCCGGGATAGGCCAACCAGTCTCCCCCACCTTTAGTTCATCTCTACTTCCAGAGCCTCACAAGAACAGCCACTCAGACAGCAAGCAAGGAGGGAAAAGCCTCACTCACCCGCAGCAGGAGGCAGCAGGCTCCTAAGGCAACAAAGGAAAACATGCCAGAGTGTCATTCCCTACTATGGCATGGACCAGGCACCGGACATGCTGATGAGACTGGCAGAGACTTGGACTTTGCAACTGTGGCACCTGGTAGGGATGTAAAAACCCGGTTAATCAGTCAGCCAGGTAAACATTATGTTTACCTGATTAGCCAATTAAATGGGTAAGGGTGGGCACTCCAGCCAGCTGCAGCGCTGGAGCAGTGCCCAGCCGGGGCAGGTGGGGGGCTGCTCCAGCCCACCAGTTAACAATAACTGGGAAGCATCACCTGGTGAGGACAGATCCAGACAAAGTATCAGCAGAAAAATCCCATGACTTCCAGGCTCCATGGGCCAGCAACACAACTGAAGGACCTCGGTGAGGTAAGGGACCGTCTGGGTAAGAATGAGCTGTGATAAAACGCAGAATACCCCCTCTGGCCTCTTCACTCAGGAAGTGAAATTAGAAGGATAAGAACCCAAGGGACACTTCCAGAAATGTGGTCTCTGGGGGTGGAGGGGCAAAGGTCTCTTCCCAGATCACCAGCCTTTGACAAGCTTGCATAACCTGGGTTGAACGGTCAGCAAGAGAGACACACGGAGCTTGCATCAACTCTTCGATGTCCCAAACAAGTACAAGTCCAGTGCATGTCCCCACTAGAGAGCAACTCCCGATTTTCACCAGTGAAACCAAAGCAGAGTTTAGGCTCAGTGAATTCTCGGCAGCCAGCAGCCACCCGGAGACAGCAATGCCTAGTCCTCAGCACACAGGACTGTGAGCCACTAGCTCCTACAGGTGCTGGAAGTTGGGGTGCTGCCACTCCCCCTGGCTTGAAATGGTTTCCATCATGTACAGTTTTTAGTACCTCCACTATACAGTTTGTTCCAGCCTGCCCAGTAGTGCCCAAGTTTTAATCTCAGCTCCGACACAGTCTTGTGTGGTTTTGGGTAAGTCACATCAGATACTGGGCCTCACTTTCTTCCTCATCTGTACATTGAGGAAAGAGGATCTATGTTACAGGAGATGAGTGAATAGGAAGAGGGCTTTCAAGTAGTACTAGGCACAATGTGCATAAGGACAGATTAGATGATCATGATGGTTTCTTCTGGGCTTAAAGATGAGTACTTCTCATTAGCAGTCTCCTACTACTGAGTGGGGGAAAAAAATCTTGTTTTTAAGCCTATATTCTTTTACGTGTATTTTTGGTATTGTTCTTAAAAACCCTCATCTCTCCCCCCCAAAAAAAGATTAAGTTCTGGTTTTGGATTTAGAGAACTGGAACATGATTAAGGTATGAAAAATTGTGAAAAGCAAGATAGATTTCTCCTCAGTTCACTATGCAAAACAGCTAGAGAAGGAGAAGAAAGCATCACAGGATATTTATGTCCAGTAAAAATGGTAGATTAAAAGTTAAAAAAAACCAAAACTATAATACTTAGGGATTTGGATGCTCAGTTTTGATACAGACTCGCTATGTAACCATCACAAATTACATCCTCCCTCTGTGCCTCAGTTTCCTTCTCCCTCACTTTGTAAAAGTAGGAGAATAATACACAGTCCTTCACAAAGAACTGGGTGTCTGATGGCATGGCATTATTTCCTGCTTAGCCTAAAGCAGCATTTGAACAGGGTAGCAAGAATTCAGACCTGTGTTCACAGGAGACTAGAGCCCACAGGTCAAGAGTAAGCAGTTAAACCCCTGCTATTCCATTCTGCAAAAGCAGCAATGCAGTCTTAGGTGTGCAGTTGTTTGTGCCTTCAGTGTTAGTAGTGTGCTGCCTTACATGCCCAGGACGCAGGTGTATGACAACACAGCCACACCCTGTCATGCAGCACCTCCCCAGGGCATACAGACACTGCATACTACACCACAACAGCATGCCCTGTCATGTAGCACTACTTACATGTGCAGCAAAGCAGCCCTCTCATGTTTCTACCCCAGCAAGTGATGACTAGCATAAAGCAGTGCTGGGGCAACTTCACCTTCTCCTCAACTTGTCACAGAAGAGGACAAATTCATGTGGATTCGGATGGGGGATAGAAGGTTAATGAAGAAAAAAAGAAGTTTTGCTCTTTGCAAACTGACCAAGCACCCTTCCTTCCCAAGTCAGAATAGTAAGATATTCTGGGCAATGGGGAGAGCTCTTCTCTGCTGCCTAGTTCCGTGTTAAGAGACTAGCCAAAACTGGAGCCCTTTATTTAGACTCTACCTGAACGTCATTAGTTCCAGATTAAATGGGCCCCAGTTCCAAGCCACCCCAAGATATGGTCCCAACTGGCGACGTCTTGTGAAATCCCGATCTGCCCCACACAGAAGAGGCCATATGGGAAAAGCTGGATGCACGGCTGGTGAGCTGTCACACCTGTAGCAGAGCCGTCACTGAGAGTATTCCATTCCCCTCCTGGAAGCAAGGGCTAAGCAGCAAGGGCCAAAGAGAACAGAGATGAGGCTCTGTTCCGTGCAGAGAGGGAAGAAGGAGGGAGGCAAAGACAGAGCCTCTGCCCCCTAAGCCCCAAGTCAGAAAACTCTTCATGTAGCAAGGAGTGAGCAGGCTGGATCCCCTGCATCATTGCTCCAGAACTGCAGGCCAGTGCCCTCTGCACGGTGCAAACCAAGCAGAAGGGACAGAAACGAGACACCGGGAAAACCACCTAATACATCCAGGCTCCTCTGAGGCCAGTGCCCTTTCCACAAGAAGTTCTTGTCACCTCCGTGTAAGAACCTCCACCCCCTAAAAACATGCAGCCCCATGGGATATGTAGTATTGTACAACATCGGCTTACTCCTCTGTAAAGCCAGCTGCAAGCGCTAACCTATTACTTGGCCATGCTGCACTTGCTGACTGGCCTGTGTTCAGTCTCTATGTACAGCAGCCTGAAGCCTACCATGATTTCTGAGAAAATGAAAAAAATGAAGAGAAAAGCGAAGACTTCTGCTTGAGCAGCCAGACAAACAAGAGACAGGAAAAGACTACAGCTACCAGAAGCCTTTGGAGCCACGCAGCCAACCTTCAGCTGCCAAGGGGCCTGCCTGCTCTCTTCACACTGGCTGTACTTTGATTCAATTCAGTGACTTCTACCCAGTCACTGGATGCCTGTGCTGTCCATCACCCCTGCCTATGCCAGCTAGGCTGACTGAAAATGACAGCCATAATCAAAGACCTGGGCTTTGAGGTGATGTTCAAAAGAAACTGTCAATTTCTCCAGAAAATAACACAGACACACACAGAATTGCACTCCTAGTCCATAGTCCCAGCTGAACTCCCACAGCAGACCTGCATACCGACAGGCAACAAGGGAGGCCAGTTCCTCTCAAACAAGAACAAAAAAGCAAGACGCCCTTTAATGTTAAACTCAAAACAATTAAACATTTGCAACTACAGGTCTTCCTTTGCTACCGGGAAGCCGAAGCACAAGGCACGCTGCATTCCTCGCTAATATAAGGGAAAGGCAAAACTGGACTCAAGGACCCTTGCAGGCTCCAGGAGAAAATAAAGATTAGGACTTTGACCAATCTTTTAAGGAAAAAAAACCCAGGAAGTCTGCAGCATGCTGGAAAAAATATATTGCCTCTGCCCAGCCCAGACTTATCACAACACGGTACAAAATGGACCTGCCTGCAGGACAGTCCTCTCATTGCAAAATACTCGAGCATTGAAAAAGTGGTTGGGAGGCTCCTTACCTTTCTTTTGCTCCGGGTCTCACGAAAGGCCAGAGGTATTTCCCATAGTGATCCTGGGCTGTTTTCCTTTGGGCTTTTCAGCAGTTGTCTGCTCGGTGAAGCTTGTTAGAGGGGAGCTGAGGATCTGGAAGCTGCTGGGGGACAGCCATGCAGTCAGGGCGCATGGTCTTCTTCACCAACAGCCTTCCAGCCAGCTGCAGGGGGCTCTTGGGAGTGGATCATGCTCTTTCCACACGCACTGAGTCTCCCCTACTGGCACCAGCACCCACACATTGCAAACACCCTGCCTCTAGCACACACTTTCACTCCGTCAGTTGTTTCACTTTCACTTGAGGAGAATTCAGACTCAAGTTTTCGAGTGGGGAGGTTACTGGTTGGCTGATTTTTAGCAGCAACTTCCCTCTTACCTCCCCCTCCCCCGAAGTTACAGGAACCTTCTCCACAATTTTCTGTCTCAGTCGTGGTTGCTATTATTGCTGAACTGGCTTAGATCCCTCCTGCTAGGAACCTGCGGGTTTGAAAGGGTTCTGTTAGAGAGTGGGCAAAGCTGGGATGGAATGCTCCTTTCTCTCCCTCTCTCTTCCTGAGTCTGAATAATCATTTGGAGAAACAGGATCATTCACTTTGCCTTCATACAAGAAGCCAAGCAGTGCCCTGTCAAAATAAAAGCCCCAGTTTGCCTCTTCTACTGATTAACTGCTTCCTAATCTAGGGCTCCTTCTCTGGCCTCCCAGTGGCCTGACTGAGAGGAACACCTTACAAAAAGAGATGATGAGAAACAATTAACCCCCCTTGCTAAAAGCCTCACCTGCACTCACGGCCCAGGGAAATAATGGCAGGAGAGGCAAAGTTTTTGAAGGACGTTAGTGACGAGTATGACAAATATTTTTTTAAATCAAGGAACCTCTAAAAGAGCAAATCTTACAAAGTTCTATGCTCAGGACTGCTGCTCTTGCTTGTTCCTAGGAGTAAAAGAAGAGAAATTGAGGGTCCCCCCAGACATAAGGAAAGGTGCCAAGCAAATAGGTGGAGGCAGGCATAGCAAGTCATGTCTGCAGCTGAGTCTCCTGCTCAGTTGGCACAATGATAAAAAGCAACCCCCAGAGAGCCCTACCCCCCACCAGCTCTTTACTCACTTGGGAGTGAATTAAACTCTGACAATGGAAAGGGAGTTTCCCTTGTGGATCTGACTCACTCGCTGATCTACTAATGATCAGATTATATGAAAACTCTCCACAAGATCCTGCTAAAGGACAGGATTCCTACTTTGGTTAAAAGACCAATCCTGCCATTGAATGTAGTGCTTAGCACCTCTCAGGATCAGGCCCTAAATCTATTATTTGCTGTGGGCTGTGAAAGCTTATGTTTTTCCTTGAGTGTCTTATTCCCCCATCAATGCAGAATTGACCCCTCCTGGCATGACTTCTAACAGGTGAGGGCCTATTCCAGTTTAAAGCAATGGCTACCTGGCCTTGCTTGCTCTCTTGTTCTTTACCCATTCAAAGTCCTTTCCACATTGCTCCCGGCTGTCACCAAATGCCAGCACTTCTCAACAAGGAGGAAATGTTTTTGACTTTAAGAGCTTTCCTTTTCTGGAAAATCAAAGGGCTGTGCCTACCAGATCTGTCAGTGCCCAGGCTCTATGATGCTTTTGGCCCGAACGTTTCTAAATTTCTGCTACCTCATGGAAAAGTTCAGTGTTGCATCACTGGGGGGATGTAACTGCACAAAACTTGTTACAGTTCCGCGCACAAGCAGCAAAGGAGAAATGTTCAGTCTAAAGCCGCGTATTCTAGAGTGAGAACCACCAAGAACAAAAATAAAGTTACCAGGAGAAAGTGCATTTTATATTAGCTCAACAACAGATGCAGCAACTCAGAAGAGAATGGCAGTTTCCTTTGTCATCTGGGGTAGCAGAAATGTAAAGGCACAGTACACACAAAACAAAGGTCTCGCCGTTTCAAGCTCCATGCTGTGCTAATGCTCATGATCTAGGTTTAGCCAGACACCCAAGCAGACTTAGGGTAAGCTGAGTGTGGTGCAGTTAATAAGAGGGCTGGATCATCTGTCCAACCAACCGGCTCCATCATGGGGGCTTCAAAAATTCTCTCTGTGTGGCTACATCTACACTGCAGGCTTCTTGTGCAAGAACTTTTTGCGGAAGATCTCTTCGGCAAAAAGTTCTTGCGCAAGAGCGCACCCACACTTCAGCTATGTCTACACTCGCAGCTTCTTGCGTGAGAAATATGCAAATGAGGCTTGGCGATATTCCACGCTTAGCCTCATTTGCATATTTCTCACGCAAGAAGCCGCGAGTGTAGACATAGCTGAAGTGTGGGTGCGCTCTTGCGCAAGAACTTTTTGCGGAAGATCTCTTCGGCAAAAAGTTCTTGCGCAAGAGCGCACCCACACTTCAGCTATGTCTACACTCGCAGCTTCTTGCGTGAGAAATATGCAAATGAGGCTCAGTGATGTTCCATGCTTAGCCTGATTTGCATTCTTCTCGCACAAGAAGCCACGAGTGTAGACAGAGCCTTCATGTGCTGTTGCACAAGAGAGAGCGTCCGCACTGCATGGACACTGTTGTGCAAGAAAGGCCACCTGGAACGACTTAAGACAGGGCAGACGGGCACCAGTTGCTTCTGAGGGCTGGTGCCGGAGCCTTGCAGAGACACGTGCTTAAAGGGACCCCTCTTGACAGCCATTTTTCTGCTGCTGCTGCTGCTTGCTACCTCTGCGAGGGACAGCAACACTTCAGCAGTGCCTGCTGTGTTTGCCCTGTGCTTCTTGGGACGCCACAGCCTTTCTGTTGCTGCCATGGAGCCAGACCCGCCCGTGGGCATGTCCTGGCCCCACACGGCCATGCTGCAGTGTGTGCTGCACTTGATACATGGTGCCATGCTGCTCCTGCAGGAGCTCGACCGTGATGACACTCTGGAGTCCCTCTCCCGGAGTGTAGCAGCTTCACTGCTGGACCCACAGCGCACTGTGGAGAGGCGGTTCTGGAGACTGGACACCAGTCTCGACTGGTGGGACCAGCTGGTCTTGGAGCAGTGGGACAACCAGAATTTCCGTATGAGGAAGATGTTCCTGGACCTGTGTATCTGGCTCACCCCTGCCCTCCGGAGACAAGACACCCACAGACAGCTCACCATCCCCGTGGAGAAGTGGGTCGCCATCACCCTCTGGAAGCTCGCTACCCCAGGCAGTTTCTGGTCGGTGGGCAACCAGTTCGGTGGGGAAGCCCACCGTTGGGGCCCTCCTCATGCAGGTAAGGCCCTCTGGGACTACCGTCCCTGCATGGGGGGGCAACAGTCCTGGCTGTGGGGGGGTGCAATGGGGGGGAAGCCCCATTCCCCGGGGGGGGAAATGCCATCCCACCCTCACACAGCTGGGGGGCAGACTCATGGGGAACTCCTGAGGGTTTTGGGGGAAGAGGAGATGGGTGGAGGGGGAAGGCACCTCCCAAGGGTTCTCATTCTGTTTTGTGTGTTTGTGTGTCTCCTGCAGGTGGTGAGGGCCATCAACTCCCTGCTGCTGTGGAGAGTCATCCATCTGGAGGACGAGGACACGACCATGGCCGGATTTGCTGCCCTGGGGTTCCCCAATTGCAGGGGCACCATAGATGGGACAAACATCCGATATGAGCACCTGACCATCGAGCGGCCCGCTTCATCAATCGAAAGGGCTACTTTCCATAGTGCTGCAGGCCCTGGTTGACCACCGTGGACACTTCAAGGACATTTTTCAGGGGTGGTCGGGCAGAGCACACGATGGCTGCATCTTTAAAAACTGTACCACAGGCTGGAGGTGGGCACAGTCTTCCCCTGCTGGGAATTTGTGGTTGAGGATGTGCAGATGCCACTGTGCATCGTGGGGGACGTGGCCTACCCCTCATGCCATGGCTCATGAACCTCTCCATCGGACTCCTGGACCCCAGCAAGTAACAATTTAATGCCCACCTGAACTGGGCCAGGAACCAGGTGGAGTGCACCTTCAGCCGTCTCAAGGCGCACTTCTCTTGCCTGACCACCTGCCTCGACATGGGGGAGCACAACATCGCTGAGGCGGTCGCGGCATGTGTCTTCCGCAACATTGTGGAGAGGAAGGGAGAGGCCTTTCTCCCCGGCTGGGGGGCAGACTCCGGCCAAGTGGGCCATGTATTTGAGCAACCCTGGACAGCTGCCATCCGGCAGGCCAGATGTGCATCCCACCAGCTGTCCCCAGGGCTTCCTACTAAGGGGCCCCTGCCTTGCAGCCACATCA